CAGTGACATGGGTGACTACTCAAAGGCTTTGAGTTATTATGAAAAGGCTCTCGAAGTTATGCGGAAATCTCTCCCGGCTACTCATCCTTCTATCAATGTGTGTGAAAGAGCAGCAGCTGACATGAGTAAAAAACTGATGAAACGTTCATAACTTCTCAAAAACAGTTGATTATTGTGAGGTAATAAATCGGAAACTAGATTTCAGTGGAGGTTCTCACAGATTTAAATCGATTAATCACGGGATCTGTTATAGCATAGTTATTATTTATAATCACCGATACCTGTGGAACGGCGCAGTCTGTAGGAAAACGTTTATGTATTTGTTGAAAGAAAGGAAATTGTGACAAAAGTTGAGTATTATGAAACGGCATAGACCTACATTGTAAATAGTCACTGGTTATATAACTATTCTGCATCTTCAGTAATCCGCTTGAAAGTTTCATCCTTTAATTTTGACGTTTCGAGCAAGCATAGAATAGATCCCTCTGTACAAAATAAGACTTTCTTCAAGTCTAGATGACCTGATAACTGCGTCGCAGAAGTGTACCTCCATGCTCCAAAAAAGAGTCATTTTCCCTACCTGTTTGTTCGCGTATGCAGTATGCTTTCTAGAAGTTTCTTTTATCTATTCGTTTTTAGTCTATAGTACACTAAAAAAGTAGAGTAGTAAAGAATGGCATAAAATGTACCGCTAGATATTTCTTTTAATATAATCGGCTATAATGAGTAAAAAGTCTGATGTACAGAGCGTCACAATGTCAATAATCGTTCAAACTTATCGGGTTGATGAAAAACCTGTAAAGGGGGCAAAAGCATCGTGACATTTGTCGAAAGAAGGTATGCCATTGAAAACGTATTTGAAACGAGTAAAAAGTATTGAGAATGTTTTATGAGGGATCAAATCCAAATTATATGCTCGAACATAAGTGCCCTGTGTGCACCCCGGCAGAAAAGAGTGAGCACGGAAATCTGGCTTATCGGATAACTCAAGAGTCCGCTCAATCGTGGAATTTTTGGGTCAAATAGCTAGCTGCGCCGAGCAAGTGCCCACTTGCTAGCTGCAAGTGGTCGATCGAATGGGGACTTAACTGAGCGATTAGCGTCGAATTCAAATACATCAGCTAGCTTCAACCCACTTAAACTAGCTTTGACGGGTTAAAAATTGCGTTAGATAGTTGCAAGCGCCACGATGTTTTTCTCCTTGGGCAGCTCTGGTACCTATACAACCGTTGCTATGGGTCATAAGAAGCAGGGAAAAATCGCATAGATTGTCCCTAGAGATCAAATCTTATATAAGATTCCTATAGGACTCTTATAGAATATCTGCAAGAATCTTATGAATTTCTTATAAGGCAGTCGATGGAAATGTGTAATTTATTGATAAGAATCTTATATAAGATACTGATAAGATTTCTATAAGATTCTTATAGGATCCTTATCAGAATCGTATAGGAAGGATATAGTACAATTTCATCACATTCTTTAGTGATCAGTACTCTATATTCTACTTTCTTACTATAATCTACTGTTTCATACGTGAATAAAATAATTTTCTTTCCACTTATTTAATTTTTCTATAATAAGACCTTAGTTCCACGCGGACAGTCTCATGACTTGTCCTCACTGTCTACTGCTTGTAGACCGAATTTACTTCCACAAATCTATCATGACTACAGGAAGAATATGAAGTTCGAAAAATATAAATAGATAAAACGAGAATGCAAGGCACGAGATGTTGCTCGTTTGTATAAATCCCGCTTTTTTATCAGAATCTTAACTTAGTAGATGAAGTTCTTTTATGATTGATTCTAGTGCTTTATTAAGACAGATATGAAAGAGTTTTGATGCATAATAGTGGGATTCGAACTGCTCTATTTTGTGCGACTTAGAAAGCCGGAATTGAATCTGATCTTGATAGAAAAAAAGGATCTCAATCAGAATGTGATGAAATTGTACTATATCCTTCCTATAAGATTCTTATCAGAATTTTATGAATTCTTACCAAAGTCTTATGAATTCTTACCAAAGTCTTATGAATTCTTATAAAATAATTATATAATCTATCTTACCGAATTCTTATCAGAATCTTATAAGATTCTTATATTCCTTCTTATAAGAATCTTATCAATAAATTATGCATTTCCATCGACTGCCTTATATAAGATTCTTATAAGATTTCTATAAGATTTTTATAGAATTGCCGTAAGATCGGTCGACTAGGGGTGTGGACATCAGAGAAAAGTTAAACTCAAATTATAAAATTTATGGGGCTAGCATTTTTATTCAATCTCATGGACAAAACTCGATTTTCTGCTTATTCTGTCCACCGTGGAGAAAGTAGATAGTTTTCTAATATACAAGAGAATTATTCGGTCGATTTGATGCAGATTTATTATTTAAACATACCGGTTCTGATGTATTTGTAAAAGAATGTAAGTACGAATTGCAACAGAATGATGTACAGGATATCAGGCGTTGTTTTCTAATGTATCCACCCAATAATCCAAATGATAATAATTTTTGAATAAGTATTTAACTGTGGAATCATGGATGTTATGTCTTAACAAATAGTTAGGGTAAAACTCATTTCCACAAATATTACAACAGATTTTCATTAATGCATACCCAGGTCCAGTTTTACGACTGCCGTAAACGACCGTACACAGTCGTATATGACCGCCGTAAATCACCGTTTGCGGTCGTATTTGCATCGTAAACGGCCGTATACGGTGAAAATACGGCAGTAAACGGCCGTAACTACACCGTAAATACGCCCGTTTTACGGCCGTAACTGCGCCGTGACAGTTTACGACCGTAAACGGTCAGTTTAGAAAAAATTATTTTTCGTTTCCAGCATCTTCTACAGAAGATGTATATAGAGCTTCAGGACGTCACCGATGCGTTGTATCGTCTTGAATATCACTTACCACTCACATACATACAATTATAATTGTTTGCCAGGATTGAGATTCGAACACATCACGCACCTAGAATTATAAATCCAGCACATTCTAGTTATACCATATTCCTTGTAAACAAAAGTGTGAATTTGTTATTCATGTTTGCAATAAATATCATGAATTTCCACGCGTGGTCTCCCATGTATGAAAATACCTAACCACAGCTTGCGTCAAACTTCCATATATAGTATAGGAATCATCGTTTGCTGAAGTGGAAATAAATTGTAAGGTGCCGCCGAGAGATTGGTCACCGTTTACTGGCCGTTTTATTGCTGTTTTGAGAACGTTAACGCTTCGTTTTTTGTGTGACCGTTAACTAGACGGTAACGAGCCGTTTTTTTGGACCTGGGTAGTTGATCAAAAGAACAATTTGATACCATTTTGATCACATAACGAATACTAGTTCATATTGAAAAACTTACATATAAGAATCACTTACATTATAAGAATACATTTTGCGATGGAATTCCAAGGAACACAGATCACAGGAAATTCACCGTATACGGCTGATGTATATCGTTGTACATTGCCGTATACGGTCGTTTACGACCGTGTCTATTGGACCTGGGCTAGTTTTTATAAGAAAAAGAAAATTGGAAACCCCATGAATTAGATCAAGCAACCCATATACGAAGAAAAAGAGACAAGAAAAGAAGGTAGGATCTTGTAAAGAAGAATGCTCGATAGCATTCGCTCGATCACAACACGGAAACAATTGGAACTTTCCTGTAACCATGAAATATAAGTCATTGACAACTGACGAATGATGTAGACATTCAACGACAAGAAATAGGAAATCTTGAATCATATATGTTACCGTTACGTCAACGTTTAAATAGTGAAGAATGTTTATTAGAACAAATCGAATTGAAATTTGATAATGTCAAACAAAAATTATTACAACAACAGCGCAGTTTTTGTGAATGAAAAATACTGATTAGCTGACACTCCATTTTGGCACTGAAATATTGTTAATGGAATTGTTGACTTGTCTTCTTTTCCTAATGTATCTAAACAGAATATTTTAATTAGAAATTGGCAAAGAATACTCTTACACATGCATTTTTCTAACTTCTCCATATAGCCCAGCCCAGCACATTTTCATCGAGAATAAATTTTTCTGGATATATATTGTCTAAAAATCATTTCAAACTATGACAATTGAGCCGTTGATGTAAAGCTAGTCGTTCTGAAATATCATCATATAATCTTTTCCCTGAAACAGAGAGAAGTAAACTCGTTGAAACTTCATAACTATATGTGTACAAACACACGTTAAGATCCCGACGATGCATATAACAAATTCGTTTGTAATCGTCCATCCATACTTCGGCTAAACGCATTGAATTTCTTCTATGAATGTCGTCGCCTTTTCCTTTTGCTCTCGTCATGTTGTACGGATGACTGGGTAGAAAAGTAGAACCAACCCGAGAACATGGAACAAATTCAAGACGTCCACCCCTCATCCAAACCTAAATGAAAGCAAGAAACGAAAGTATAAATGTTGCAACAGACAGACTTATGCTTAAATGACTATGTTATGACATTTCTAAATTTTCCCCAACCCAAACTAAAGTTATAAGAAAAATATGGCCTTTTCTCAATTTGTAAACAAGTTCTAAAAAACACAGACCTTCCATATCATCGTCATATCCTCCGATTTCTAAAAGTATTTCCTATCTGCTTTAAGTAATCCTCCGGCCATTGTAGGCGATCTGAAAAACAGAAGATCCGCGTTTCGTGTAAATAATGGATTAGTGCACTGTAAAAAATAAAGTGTGCCCGGTAGTGTGCATTCTCCCAAGTGTGCATTTTGAGTCCAAAATGGTGTGCAAATTGTCACTGTGTAATGTGAATTTTTATCTTGCATTTCCCTACGGAAAAGAAACAGAAGAATTATTCTTTTCTGCGGTCTTTTTTCTCGTTCTGTCTATGCAAGCTATATTTGCAATTCCAGTGTGTTACAGGCACACTGAACAAGCCGTTTTCAGTGTGCAAAAAAAGTCCAAGTTCAGTGTGCCCCGGGCACACTTTATTTTTTACAGTGTGCAACAATCTAATTCAATATATTTATTCAAGTCTATCCTTCAGAAAAACGATACTTATGCTCAAACAAAAGACATTCTCCACTCTAACTATTGGGATTCGTTGTCACTTGAGCATCTCAAAAATATCTATAAGGTAACTGTCACAGCCCTAATGACAAGCTTCAAAATCTTCAAAGTTACATCACAGACATATGGTCAAGTAAATAGAACAGCGCATATTCATGCATCATGTGAACTCCAGTCACATCGACTAAACCATTGATTTGACTCCATCTCAAACCCAATCTCTTTCATCTGCGCATTGCTCACAAACATTGGACATTTCTTGCAATAACAAGCCATTTCCATCGACAATCAATCGAAATGTAAGGCCAGTTTCGATTTAGATTAGTCATAGTTCATTCTCGGTGAGACATTCTCATCTTCAAGTGGCTTTATTCAATTGGGTGAAGTTCATAGAGAACTGAAACAGTCTGACACATCCCGATTCCTGATGATTCATAATTATTGCGATGTCAAGAGAACAAGTGATTCCTAATTTTGGCACCTTGAACTCTGAACCGAACCGATCACACTAATTTTCTTATCCACTGCTCTTTTCGTTTAGATATTGAGACAGTCTAATCATACTATTACTCTTTTCGAGCAGATGACTAAGTAGACACTGTTATTAAATTTTAATTAATATTTCTGCTATGTATTCGATACTTCCATATGTCCCGTAATACGAAATATATTTTCATGTTTACGCGATGATTGCACGTCATATGTTGCGATAAAAAACGACTAAGCTTAGAACTGTTATATTTCTAAAGAAAACTCACTAATTTCTTCAGTGTATAATTACAAAATCCATGTCTAGTCGGTCTGTTTAAATCAGTTGCTCAGCTATATCACGATGTTAATCAAATAAAGTCTCATTTTGACCAAAGTTTGATTTGGTACTGGCTACGAGAAATAGCTAAAAATGTTCTAATATCACACAGAAAGCGTGTGTTAACGTTTGGACTGGAAGATTAAGAACTGATTAATGTCTGTTGAAAATTTGAGAGATGGCGATAAAATTGTTTTGAGAATAACTCCGAAAAAACTTGAATTTAGAAACTTGTCGACAAAATGTAACACAAGAACAACAACTACAGGCCTGTATAATACGAGGTGTCTATATAAACGATAAAATTGCGAAAACATTAACGTCTTTCTGACCATTATGAGTTTTAAATATTCTTTATATGTCTAGATTATTCGAAAAGATCTTGATTTGGCTCGATTATCATGCTAAAATGCTAAAGAATCTCTCGATAAGAAATAGGACAAGAAATAGGAAATCTTGAATCATATATGTTACCGTTACGTCAACGTTTAAGTAGTGAAGAACGTTTATTAAAACAGATCGAATTGAAATTTGATGATGTCAAACGAAAATGTTTAGAAAAACAAGAACGACGTAACGATATTGGAATAAAATTAAATCAATTTGGAATATGGTTAAATGAACGAATTCTTGATTATGATCAAACATGTGGTAAATAATTGATATCTGCTGATTACAGCAGAATAGATCAACGTTGAAAATTCATAGTTTTCCAACGTTTCTTTTCACGTTTTCAACGATGAAAAACAGAAATCGACGCAGTTTTCCATTGTGCATCTCGGCATGTAGTTTTTTAGCTCATGTTGTGTATTACTCGAGTATAAGAGATGTTTCGAAAAAACAAAGTCATTTTATTGTTTAGCAAAAAGGAATTTTATGAAATTTAAACAATTGTTTCTAACTCTTTTTTTTCGTTATAGTATGAAGTTTTAAAAATAATCCTATAGTTTTTAGAAAGTGTATGATGAATTTCGTCAACATTTGTAAAATCGAGTACCGAGTAACCGAATCAGTTACTATTTATTATAGACTATTTAGAATATAAGTGGTCGAGAAAAACTATATCACGGCAAAGTAAAGAGATTCCGTAACGATTTTTCATCATTTTGTTTTGTTTTTCGAGTATTCCAGTAAAATGTAAATTATTCAGCCTTAAATTAATTTTAAAGTGATTGTTTAGCTGCTAGATTAAAGCTCACAGTGTGGGCTATCAGAATCATTACTGAATTTTTCTTGAGCTAGTTTCCTGGCGGATAAAAGTAACCGATACGGAATTTCACCGCATTGTGCTCTCCTTTGCAGATGGTTTGGTATATATTTTTTCTGTCACAGAACTACTTAGCAAGCTCGGATTTGCACAAATACATAGATAGTTTGAGGTACCCTTCATCCCATGCAGCTAAAAATAAATTTTCAAACTTAGATTAAATGGGCATAAAACTGCTCATAAAAGAAGCTCCAAAACTCTTTTTAGAAAATAAAAAACAAATTTGGTATCTAAACGTCAACGGTATGTAAAACAAAACGATGATTCACGAATTGGCACGATTTGGGGTACAAGAAGTCGAGAAATTTCAAGAAGTTAAAGATCTTGGGTTCTTGAGATTTCTTTTACTTTTACGTTTTTTTATGAAGATGTTGATTCAAGAAATTCCACTAGGCCAGGAATACTTGTTATTTTTGTCAAAGCCATTCTTGGTTTTTACACCCGCTATTTAAGTCAAAAAGACATTCTCTTACGTAACTTAACAACCTCTCTAAAACTAGAATCTTTTTAAGTGAAGCGGAGCAGTTTGTTGTTATGATATGCGGTTTCAGATGGACTTATACCCATGATATCTTCATTTTTTGATTAATTATTGGCACTATCTGCGGAATTAGTAATTAAAGACAATCAGATTATTAGATGTTGTTAATGAATCTTGATCCGCTGAATCAATTTTCAATTCCTACACATGTTAACAGAATATCCTGTCAGAAACGACATTCTTTTTGTATTGAACGAACGATGTCACTAGTTCTTATTCATCTGGTGACACAGCATGGTCACTGGTAACGCACATATGCATTTAACAGTGGTGACTGCAAATTCAAAGTGTAAGTCAGGAAAATGGCAGATGATAATGAGCTTTTCTTCTTTTCTGATAAATAAAATTGAAAAACGTAATTTGTGATCCTTCTGCTTGCACAATAATTCGATTCTGGTAAGTTTGCCAAACACTTCCTTCAGTGAAAATATTTTCAAGAAAAAATGAACAGACCACGTTTTCTGTTTTATTGCGCGCGGTGATGCAATACTACTATAGATCACTACTGATAATTTGAGTTACTTTCCCTGTATCTATTTTCACCTCATTTAGAAAAAACTCGAAAAAGTTCTTGGAGGTTGTATAAATTCAAATTTCAAAATTTCACTGAATTTTTTTGCTCGAGCGTCACTCGTGTCTAATAATAGATTCTGCAACTTCTGTTGCAGTGGTTGCTGAATTTTATCTTTTGATATACTTTTTAATAATTTAGTTTGAAATTTTTCTACTTACTCATATGAACGTTTGCTTTAGTTTTTCTTGTACAACACGCCAAGACTCTCTAAACTCTCTATACATGTGACGTATATTCATGATAAAGATACATGTTTCTCAATTAATTTTTGCCATATTTCCTTTTTGATGCGATTTGTGTTTGTATTATCAATGCCCATTTCATTCTAGTAGTAGTAGTAGTAAAGTTTTTTTCTATTATGCGAATTGTCGAAAGCGGAAAAAGTACTTTTACAAAAAATGAAAATTATTTATAGTCAAGAGTTCAACGATATAGAATCGGATAAATATCGGCAACAGATTTATCTAACTATTATTCGTTGTATATGCGTTTTACTATGACAAACTTGCAACTGTAAAGTATACCATTATCAGATTATGAGGACACATCAAGGTTAGTCATTAATAATAGTAAATAATAATAGACACATTTTTCATTCGGGCAGATTTGCATCTTATGTAAGATTATTATGAGGAGACAAAGTACTACAAAATACGTTTCGAAAACGAAATGAATTGTAAATTGTCAATGCCAAGTTTTTAGGTGTGTGTAAGTGTTACTGTGATTTTCTTTAACTGTTTTAGACTGATTCATTTGCATATTTTTATTAAAATATTGGTCGTATTGCTTTTCTAACAGGTACCACTGGAAACTTCTATTGCAGTCGTTATTGTATCTATTTGCTCCTACCAACTACAGAGACTTTTTTCGTACATCGCACAAATCCAAACTATTGCTGCGTTAGTAGTTCTTTTTTATTTGTTTCAGGATTATGTACCATCTCACACGCATATCATTAGCTGTCGTTGAATAAAATGTCTATTCGAAATCAACCATTTATTCTAATTGATGTTTGTGGACATTGAAGTCATAAATCGTTAAATTTTTTTCAAGAATGACATTGATGTTGTCCATCGTTGCATTATCCGAACAAAGATACGATAACGTATCTGATTTAGACATGTTTTAGTTGTATACTTTTCGTTATCTATTACTACACCTATCTCACTTTTTATCTTGCACTAAGCAGTATCCGAATCTCAATCATTAAGCAATTTCAGAGATTAACGAAGCGGTTGATCTATAACCAAAATGCTAAGAATATAATACTATTCTCTACTTCGTGTCAAAGATTTTGGTATCATCTCTATTTCTGTTTTAGATTAAAAATACTCAGTTTTCATCACGCTAACAAAACAAATGGGTCGAAGTAGAGATCGTTCACACTCTCGGAGCATGTCATCTTCATCGAGTGGCCGAGCTGCCCACTCATCAAATTGGGATGGTGAAGGTAAAATCTAAATTAAACTATCTCTTTGTGCTCAATCATTTCTAGAACATGAGTTTTCTTTCTTATAGGCGGTTATCGTTTACATATATCCGATCTGAATGCTGGTGTAACACGTAAAGAAGTTGAACGTATTTTTGGTAAATTTGGTCCAATTAATGAAGTTTGGGTGGCTACAAACCCGCCTTGTTTTGCGTTTGTAAATTACAAACACCGTTCAGATGGAGAACAAGCAATCAAAGAATTGGATGGGAAGTAAGTATATAATAGATTATGGTGGAGGTTGAACTTGATGACACCATAAATCTTTGATAGTTTAACAAACTGAAAAACAGATTTTTGGTTTAGCATATCATAGAAGCTTAAGTGAAAGTTTTCATCTACAATGTTTGTTTTTTTTTCGTACTATCGTGTTCGTTTTCTAAGCAATCATATTGTAAGGGAGAGTAATCTTTCTATTTTCAGAGTTATTGGTGGAAGTCGTGTGGGAATTAGTTGGGCACGTAAACGTAATTATGGAGGTAAGACTGATCGAAGTATTAAATGAAATATGTTTTATTATATCATCTTTGTAACAGGTCGACGCCCTTATAGACAAACATCGCCTTATGGAGGAGGACGGGGTGGCTGGAATGATCGACGGGGTGGTGGCGATCGTGCTGGTGGTTATGGTGGTGGTGGCGGCGGTGGTGGTGGTTCGTCTTATCGTCGACATTATTCTCCGAGAAGAGATTCAAGGTATGTTGCATAAAGAAAGCGTTTTTGATAAGAAAATAGCTTTTATTTTGTGAAGTGCAATTCTTCTAATCCTTCATAATTGCGAAAAATAATCTGAATTAGGTTTTAGTAAAACTGTAAGAGTGAGATTGTTAGTGTGAGATTTTCTATGGTAGTGTGGTAGTATCATTTTCTTTAACCGTTGTTTTTTGATCATGAAGATGGAAAGCTGAAAACTCTTGTATAATAAATATAGCAAGTTTCGAACAAGAACAGTTCAAGAAGCTCAATAAGTCGACGTATTGCTACATGATAAAAACAAAATGAGTTTTTTCTAATTTGCGCTGGTTCCTTGTGACTTTTTAGTTCCTATTCACAGGATAGAGTTGGGTTCAAGGTCATTATTAAACTTGCAGCACATTTTACGGAAATATTTTATTATTTATAAAATGAAACATAGTTTTTGGTAAAGTTATAGTTTCAAAAAAAGTTTCATTCGATCACCAAAAGATCATTCTTAACTAAATTTTAATATGTGAAATATAAAACGCTTTTTACTTTTTTGAGATAAGATATTTTCAGACAATAGTTCTCACTTTCTCTTGTAGTAGTAGCAGTAGTAGTAGTTTTAGTAATACTCATTCATATATCGAATATTTTATCGTGTGTCGATATATTTGATTTTAGCCTTTTACTATTGTTGGTGCGTCGCGGCTTGGCCTCATTTTTGTGCAAAAAATGATTGAAATGCTTGTTTTACACATTCCATACTGTATACCGTGTCATATCTGCTGTGTTTGGTTGCTTTAACTGATTGATGATATGTATAATGAAATAATGACAATGACATGAAGTGTTTATCCGCATTCAGCCACTTGATTGTGATTTGTTTGGCGGTCTATTTTGAGTGTTGTTTGGCTACCACTGTGTTTTACAATTTATGGTAAACATAACGGCAAAAACCAGTAGACCCACGCACGGATTCTTATCTGAGGGCTTTATTTTTTGTTGGATAAATGCGTATTGATGTCTCTCTGGTCTTTAGTGTGCTTCATGAATATTTCTTTCAGGTCACGAAGTGGTTCTCGTGAGCGTTCGGGTCGTCGCCGTTCATCTCGTTCGCTATCTGGAGATCGACGTCGTCATTCTCCATCACGTAGTCCAGCGCCAAAACGTGGTCGCTCTCCTGCACAACAGCAACAAAAACAGTCATCATCGAAACATAGTAACTCAAAGGAAAAGAACAATAATAATAATAATCGTAGTAGTCGATCTGCTTCACCGAATGAGCCAGTTATGTATGTAGTATTTATTCTCTCATAATGTTTTCGAGTATAATATAAATATGTCTTTTTAGTCGTAGAAATCGTCGTACAAGAAGTGGAAGCCTATCGCCAAGAAGAAGTAAAGATGAAGATGATAATGGTTACAAGTAAGAATTGTTAATAACTTTCGTTGTCTATTCACTAGATCTCATTCTTTCATTTCTTCTAGAATCGCTGCTGTTGAAAATGATTAAATTAAGATACGATACTGTCACCAAAAGTAATTAATTATGACTGAAATATGTATTTCTCCTACTCAGCAGACATTAAAATAGACAAGTTGCTGTTTTAAATTTTCTTTTTGTTTTCATCGATCAATGTATCGTACTCATTCTTCTCTGTTTACAAGTTCTTTACTGTTTGTAAATTCATATTAATCTTACTATGTTGTCACTGCAAATATATCTGTACTTTTCGTGTACGTGTATGTATTTGTGTTTTTGTGTTCTTTGTTTTTGAAATAAATATGAAAAAACATTAAATGTTATTGTTTTTTCTCATAGAAGTTTTTCATATATTATTTTACGAGATCTAGGTTAACACTAATATACTGCTTTGATGATTCTATTAATGATATTGGTACATAAGCTGCATTTTCTCAAAGATACTATTGTCATTTCATATAAGCCCTGTATAGGGATGAGAAGAACAGCAAAAAAAATAATTAGATCGAGATACACCGCACTAAATTGATTACGGGATGTTAGCTATACATAAAAAAAGAAGTTCTCGTATGCATAGTTACATCAGATTTACTCAGTAAACCATAATTTATGTGCAAGAAAATCTTTCTCACGTTTTTTTCACTAAATTTGAGATTTTCTGATTTTGTAAAGCTATTTTTGTACCTCGTTTTCTCTCAGATACTTTTATAGATGTCTATTTTGTTATAAATATTTTTACTTTTGTTTGTAGATATCAATTGTTACACAGGACTTTGTTGGAAAACAAATGGGTAGAAGCAGAGATCGATCACGCTCGCGCTCGATGTCCTCTTCGTCAAGCGGTCGAGCTGCTCATTCAACGAATTGGGATGGTGAAGGTAAAATTTAACTGATTCTAATTTCTCTTTTTTTCACAACACAGTTATATAAATTTTGTTTTTGAAGGTGGTTATCGTGTACATGTATCAGATTTAACAGTTGGAGTTTCAAGAAAAGAAGTGGAAAGAATGTTTGCAAAATTTGGTCCAATTAATGAAGTTTGGGTGGCAACAAATCCGCCTTGTTTTGCATTTGTTAATTTTATGCATCGATCCGATGGAGAACAAGCTATTAAAGAATTGGATGGCAAGTACGTATTTCAATTAAGACAAAAATGACTGTGATTTATAGAGATATCATCACTTGTAGAGTTATTGGTAGTTCTCGTGTTGGACTTAGTTGGGCACGTAAACGTAATTATGGAGGTAGGATGTTAATGATAATTTCTACAAATTATTTCATATTAAATTATTATTGCTGTAAACGATAGGTCGAAGAGGTGGATATCGTCCTTATAGTGGTGGTCCACCAAGACGATCACCATCACCCTATCGCTCATATTCATCAAGAACAACTAGAACAAGTAGATATGGATATAGTCCAAAACGGTATATGTCAAGGTAAGTTAATACTTATTATTTCTATTTGAAGTTAAGGAGGAAACTTGTTTGCATAATTTGTGTCAAATTCATCTTCTAATACAATTATACAATTATACTAAATAATACATGACATTTATGAATTTGATATAAATGATGCCTGTTTTTTATCATATTATCTAGAGACTAGGTAGTATTTTTCGATTTGAAAATAATGAAAAGAATTATGTACTTTTTCGGTTGAGTTATTTGATATTTGACTTTTGTACGACCATAATGTCTGAAAAATTGTATTTAGAATAATCTGACTTTTTTCTTGAAAAAAATTGTTTGTTCGATATACACGATATAAAAAACGACAATCATTTTGTTTTTTTGAAGAAAAACAAACATCCACTTAACTCTTTGTTGAATATTTTTCTGACAAGAGAATCTAATGAAATCGTTCCAGTTTTATTAATATTTGATTTTAGTCTTGATCATTATATGGCAGCTTCTACGCTTTTGGGGTGGTTTTAATGAGATAATGGTATTTTTTTGTCCATTTAATGGATTTCATTGGCCACACAAATCCATTCTTTTGAGTAATAATCTAACATATCCCTGAAATATGGTGCATTTTAATGCAACATATGTCTGTATATCTCTCTCTCTCTCTATCTCTCTCTCTTATGAGCGATGAATAATGGCTTGGCGAAACGTGTTGCGAGCTTGGGTGGGTGCTTGTTGTTTGTCGTTAATAATGGCACATGGGTCTACACTGAGGTATGTTGACCCCAATGATAGTGGACAAGATTAGTATAAACTAATTCGAAATAAAACACGACTACCTAATTTTTCCTTTAAAATATATGAATAATTTTCTTTTCTGTTATTATTCAGATCTCGTTCGCGTTCAAATTCTCGTGACCGACATCGTCGTCGGTCAAGAACAAGATCGCGCGATCGTCGATCGTCATCTCGTCAAAGATATTCAACAAAACGAATAAAAACATCGCAAACACATCGTTCAAATAATCGTGGTGATGGTAGTGCCAGCGATGGTAATCGTTCACCAGTACGTCAACAATCAAAGCGAAGAGAGGATTCAAGAGATGGTGAACGACAACGTCGTAGTAGAACACGTTCAAGATCAAGACAACCGAATAACGGACTCGAATCACCAAATTATAATAAGTATGTAATATTATTTGTTAAATTTTAAACTATTTGCAGTTATAGAGGTTTTTGATTGTTATACATCATTTTGCCGGTTTGTTCATTATTTAAGTTCATTATATTTTTTAAGTGGTCGTCGCGAATCGAGAAGTCGTTCTCGTGAAAGTCTAGAACGTGAAACTTCAAATCGTGACGAAAATAATTATGAGTGAGAAATTGTCTTATAAACATTAACATCGTAAAATACATCATATTTTTTTATTCTAGAGGTTCACCAGTGGCTGCCAATTAATGGGTGTGCAGATGTTATACAAACTTTCTTTGTTTTGTATGCCCTACTCTATTCTTTTTCCTATGTTTGATGTTGTTTTCTCTTTTTGTGCACTATTTTCGTTTATTTATTTCTCTATTTGCAGTCATACTTGTTTCAAACATATGTTTACCTATTTAGAACTTGTACTCACTCAACGAAAATTGTTTTTCTATATATTGTACTCTGTCGTTAAAAATAATAAGATGTTAATCCTGCATTGATATTTTCGTTTTTTGAAAATTAATATAAGAAGCAAAGAATCTATGTTAACATAGTTGAATTCTACAGAAATAAATATAGTCTACTTTACAATCACTACTAGTGTACAAACAAATCAAGTATAAATAATTTTCTACTGTTGTTCAGAAATTTACTGTACGCACGGGCAAAACGATGTCAAAACATTTCCCGTAAGTACCCCGACCGAAAACTCATCGCGTACTAGATAATCGACTATGAAGAAGACGAATCTGCAACACATTTTGACTGAGCAAGCTTTTAAAGGTTTTCGATCTAGTGATGTTGCATTCACTAGTATACTAACATTAATTTACTAGCTCATTAGATGTGGCCGCCAGCGTCATCTATCCCATAAGTATACTTGTATTTCTAGTTAGTAATCTTGGCTGTATAAAGATTATTTTAAACAAACTCTTTCGTTTTGCTCAGAGCATATATTTATCGAAGACTTACTTTTTCATTTATTATTGGGGGTTGAATCATAGGAACATGTTTCTCAAACTCGATAGATGGGGACAAGAAAAAAGATATTTCATTTTTGATCCTAAAAATGCAGAAAAGAAAGAAAAAAACGAAACTCTTCATGTCATATACTTATACACATAACAATAAAAAGCCTGCCTACACGAAGCCATTTTAAAATGTTTTTTTTAAATGATTGTTGAAAATGTATTCAACAATTATACTGTAAGAAAAATTTCTTTCCTTCTATTTTTACATCCTTCTTTTCATAGATTTTCTACTCTAGCGACGTTTTGTTTTGTCTACTGTTGTCTGTATGATACACTGTTGAGATTGTTTGGTCAAATAACAAAAAGAGTAACGATATGTTTTGTATTATATGTAAATCAAAGATATCGATTAATATATTATGGTAATAGTAAGAGTGACTTTCGAGTGATGAATTCTGACCTTGTCGTTGAATGAGTTAGATTGTCTATATCGATTATCCGTTTGAGCCATTTCTTCCCCTAAGAGAACTTCTCATTTGCAGCAAAGCAAAAAATATGCTAAAGAAATATAGACACCTTAACAGAAAATGAGAGGAGGAAGACGTATGAGAGAAATTTCAAGATTTCTTTGAGAAAAATCTTAGCCTCCCCACTAGGAATAAAAGGTCATGATCTTCTGTAATAGTTGTGCATATCTACTCTCTTTAGTTGGAGATCGTTCCAAAGGACATTTTTCAAAAAATTATGCTCTCGACCGGCCGTGTGTTGCAGGTGACCTACTATTTCGAGAAGAGTTCAGGTTAGCAACCAGTATTTTTCACTTTCGAAAACTATTTTAGACGGTTTTTTTATATGAGGTTTTATGTGAGGTTTGTTAAAGGTATTTTTCACCCCTAGAGTTTTAGATGAACTTCTTTTTTGTGAACTTCTTTTCGACATTTTTTGTTTGTGTATGACAGCCATCGAAATTATACATGGGATCATATATGATTGTATCATCGGCTCCTCTTCAAACAGCTATAGTAAGAAAAACTTCGAAGTATAAAGATATTCACGCTTAGTCTATACGAAAACAAAAATATAATACAAAACGGTGACTCAATAATTACCGGGACCTTGGCGTAAGAGGATGAGAAATTTCCGGATTTTGATTTCTTGAAATTTTATGTTTTATCAAAATCTTAAGTCAAGGGATTGAATTGTGAACGTCAAGAGTTTGAGTTATAAAATAACCTGATTACTACTTATTCATCTAAACTCAAATATGTTCTATGTATTACTAAAAATCGTTTATAATAAAATGTATGCCGCTAATGGATACTTTTTTCAAATTTATTATTTATCCACTTTTCTTTACTCACCTTTTTTCAATCAACAATTTATGTGTGCATGAGTTTAACATAACAGTAAAATTGTGACTACTTGAAATAAGTATCACACGTAGATGATAAAAAGTACAATATGTAGCTGCTCTACACTGTAGCATTCATACTGTAACATAACGCTCAATTACGCACATAGGACAAATAATAGTATGAGCACTACTTAGTTACGTGAGTGTAAAGAAGGATAATGTTAAAGGTTATCGTGTTCGAAATCAGCTGAATAATAAGTATTCAGAGAGATTTCTATATATAATAGTGATTCTCTTTTCATACAGCTGGGTAAATAACGTTGAAAAAAAACATATTAGCATCTAAGGAACACTGTGAAACTTAGAATCTATTTTCTCATGTTATTACTTCGTCAAAAAGTATTTTCTTTACCAAGACCACACCCAAAAGTCTGTTAAATTAGTGAAAATGTCATGAAGATAATAATTTCTAGTGAACGTTCAGCTGTAGATTGCTAGTTGGCATTAGATGTGGATTGGATTGGATGCGAGTATATCTTATATGCCCTAAAACCTGATATTTATCTAAATTCCGGAAGATTTGACCTGTCATAGAAGTAGTACAACAGATTTTATCAACAATCTTAAGTAACTAGCGTACACTGTTTGTACAAGATGTTTGTTAAAGCAATGTGTTCTTGTTTAAACATATTCTACATAAATTAGTTGTTAACTTTGAATATTTGTGTTAAAAATTGCTACAGAAATTTTTAACGTTGATTATTTGACTTGGATTTGTGTATGAAAGTTTGTACCAGATTTCTACCTTTACTTAACAATGAACGTAATTAGTTCAGAAAAACGGTTGAAGACTGTTTTTCTTAAACTTCTTGGTAGTTTCATCACGATTCTATAAAGTAAAAAAGCAACTTTGGACTGTGAAAGTCTACATTTTTTTCTTTGCTATCTTCTGAAGTAGAGATGATTTTCATGTTCTTTACTGCTAACTGCTCTTGGAATCAATGCAGTATTAGTTGATTCTTTCTTGATTTATAGATATATCTGTAAAATAGGCTAATACCAATGGCTGATGCGGCAATCCTCTCCCTCGAGCAGATGGTGCATCTCTCATTGGGTGATCCTGAAGTTGGAGCTGTTAATTTTAATGTTTTGAAAACACTACTACTACAAATGTTAAAAGCAATGAATTTATTCAATTACAAACCGGATTCAATGTCCGACGATGATAGGCGATCATTGAAAGAAGCACTTAGTATTCCTACATCATCATCAAATGATAAACGACAGGTTAAATTTAAAGATGATACATTTATTGAAAAAATTGATAATGCTGAGACTAGCATATCAGCAAGCGGCGGAGATGTAAAACCAAAAAGACGTGATCGAAGCTCTGAACGATTAGCATTACTAGAAGAAAAAGTATTTCGTTTTGAAAGTCAGCTGAATGCATTTAATCAAATTCCGTCGAATGATGAGTTAATTGAAAAAGCAAAAGAAGTAGGAAAAACATCACCAAGAAACATCTCGTCATCAACAATGAACGACAGTAGTGGAGAAAAAAGGAAGAGCTCAAATAAAGGTCCAATCTTAGAAATATGGCAATACACACAATTAGAAAAACGAATTGAATCGGCTGAAAATGGGATAACGAGGGTAAGATAAAAACATTAATTCTTCGATCGCTTTTGAGTAAACTTAACAGATATCACTGTGACGATTTGTTTTATTGAGAACTACGCAATGAATATTTGTTTTAGCTTGCCTCATTATTACAAGATTTGTTATCAGACATGAGTGATTTGAAGGAGTCGCATGAATCAATGAAAAAATTGTTGGATGCACTCAATAAACAACAAGAGGATTTAAAAAATTTGTGTGATGCGTTGAACAAAGAAAAAGGAAATTGGGTCAGTAGACACAATAAAATAGAATTAGGTAAATTATTTAGTTACATGGTTCTATTTTAGGCGAAGAAAAGTGATGTTGAAGATTCAAATGAAAAGATACGCAATCTGCAAAATACGCTGGTATTTATCAAACAATTTTTCCATACACATCCACGTGATATCTTCCCGTTTCTAATACCTATCTAGGAGCCATTGCAAGCGATTCAAGAGCGACTTGCTAATATGGAAGACTATGTTGTATGAAACGTTTTAAGAAATGAAATATTTTTTGGATTTTTTTACACGTAGCATACACATGAGCACTATACCACGGTTTATTGTTTAAAGAATTATTATCATGCACTAAATCACGTTAATTACTCTACATCTAATCGGTTAGATCGAACATGTAATATTATACTCAATAGACAGTAGAAAAGACAATCTGTCTGATATAGATATAAGGAGTAGAACAGAATATGCAGAATAAGAAAAATTTGATATTTACATAAAATATCTTATTCCAGATCACTGGTAAAAAATCAATAAAAGTCATTATTAAGTAAGAAACGATGTAAGCTTAAATAAAATACTGGAAAATAAAGAATTTTCTAAACTCAGAAAACTCTTTTTCAACTAAGAGAGAAAAAATTCTTCACACTATCATGACGTCCGGAATTTTAACTAGCATACTGTCTCTGCCATCTTCTTTGTATGTATTTTTCTTTTCCCTGAGAAAATGACTGCTGTACTTTTATTAGTTCAGTTTTTCGAAAGCTCTCAATTCGGATTGATTTCTTTCACCGTTCTCACTAGTGTGAAACATTTTTCCTATGACAAAGGAAAAATAAAATTTTTCATCGTTTAGACGTCATTACGTGAACGTTTGGATAATTTACCGCAGCCGACCAGTAATGGGCAGTCCATCGATTTATCAAATTATGTCACATGGGATAAATTAGAAGATGCGTTACGAGGTATGCGTGAATCAGTTGAAAAATCCACGGCTGCCGCAATGGAAGCTGCCAGAAATATAACTCGCCCACCGGTTGTTGAACGGCAAATGCAAACTGTAAGTAACATGGTCTTGTGTTGTTTTAAATTAAATGTTGAATTGTTTATTAATCTTCTAGTCTGCCAAGTTTCAGGTATAGGGTGTGTGCAGATGCTAAAAAATTCAAAAATTGCGCACTTTTAACCTTGACTATGGATATGCACTTCTACTAATTTTAGGAAACTCTTTTATCTAACTAAATGTGTGAATGATTAGTTTTGCCGAATTTGTTGATTCTGATAGCGAAGGTAATCCGTAGGATGACAAGTTTAAAAGTGTTACATGTGAGGAATAGAACAAGATATTCACCGAAAATCAAAAGCAGACAATGAGCCATAGTCACACCTTGATGAGATCGCTACATGTCGGTATTATTATCTTGCATTCTGTCTATGAAATACACGCAGTCATACGGCCAGCTTTCAAGCTGTTTGACAACCAACACACGGCGCCTTCACCAGGATGTGAATATGGTTCATCTTACCATTTTTCTAAGTTAAGAGATGGGAAAATGATTGAAAGGTATCTTTGTTGCTTCCTTCCAGCCTAAAAAGCTTGAAAACACTTTGTGATTCTTATTGGGACAATCTGCCTATTTCTTTTAATACAGCTCGACGCTTAAGGCCTCTCTCCGAAATCGATGTTTTTGATAAAAACCAAAATTGGGTTTCTTGCTTGGTTAGATAGGCTGAAGTCTCCTCTTTCAGAATCTGTGTCGTTTTCCACAAAAAGGTTAGTTTTTCATGGTCGTTGAGAGGTCTTAGATTAAACCTTAGATCTATCACGATCATCTTCAAACTTCTTTAACGTTTGTCTCTGAACATGATTTTGGCACAGTAAACTTGCTGCTCCTCCCAGATGGTTCGTCAGACGATCTTTATTTTTTTATTTTGCAGCCAAGACATTTATCTAAAAATTGCGCGTGGCAATTTCTGAATTAGGCTTCTTGAACCGAGAAAAGCAGGAATTGCTACCCCGGATTACAGGGTTTTGACTTAAAGTCCGTGCAGAAAATGAACGAAAGCAAATTTTAAAAATTACCACGAACAATCTTTAGATAAATGTCTTACTTCAACAAAAAAAAAAGAGACGACGATTATTCAATAAACCGTCTAGGAGGAGTAACAATTTTGCTGAAAGCCTCTTGTGGCATCTATACCTCGGCAAATTTCCAAAGTTTTGAGTCCAAATTTTTAGCATAAGCTAGTTATATGATAATCATTAATCTGTGTAAATTTCATCAAAATCGGTTGTAAAAACAAAAAAGTTTTTTCCTTAGGTGGTCCCCTTAAGACAAAAGTAAAAATAGATCACAGAGCGAGCTTTACAATAAAACTAAAAGTTTGTTTATCTAGTTTTCTGAGACTAATCTGCTCAACCACGAATATAGTTCTTTTAACCTCGGACATAAATCTTTATATTTTGAATTAGTTTAGTAGAATTCCGCGTTTGTTTACTGAGATTCACTATGTTTAACTCAGAATATATCACAAAATTTTAGTGATAATTTTCTTTTTAAAGTAAGTAAAATTCTTCATGTTTTGTTTTAGGCTACCCCGACGGCTGATGAACCACGGAGAGTATCGTCTGGTATTTCACCATCAAAAAGTTTAGCTGATTTATTAGAACAGTTGGGTACATTGAATGAACGCCATGAACAATTGAGAGCGATTGTTGAAAGTTTAGAGGTATGCTGATATTTGTGATTGAAATTAAAACGATATTTGTTTGTTGTGTTTTCTAGAATAAGAAACTTGAACGAGACGAATTTGAAAAATTTAAAGCAAACAGAGATTTAGCTGATAAAATAGCTTCTCTCGAAAAAGCCTTACACGATCTTCAACAACAACGAAATAAAGTAAGAACATATATTACCATTTGTCATTAAATTATCACACGTTAAGAGTTTGATTTCGTGAAATTACAGCATAATACGATTCAAATAACTGCATACGAATCATGCTGGTCTTCACGAGAACATTCTCTCCGTTTTTTGGCATATATTTGAGTAATAGAGGAAGATGTATCTCCATTTAAATATTTAACGATTAATTTAGAATCAAATATGTTCTGGTTTTCCCACACTATGTGTTGAATATACATGTGTCTGTCACTAAAAAAGAGATTACTAATAAGTCTATCGTCCGTGCAATTCATACCTCAGCGTATCGGACAAGTTTCACTCATTTTTTCGAACAACGCTATTAAATAGATTGAAAGAATATAAGAAATATTGATTAATTACCACACATGAACCTATAGTGAAGCCTATGCTTACCCTAGTCAAAGGTAAATGCTGTCCTGACATACAAACGTTTAGACGTTATAATTGTGGCAGGAATTGTATACAACACAATGATCAGTAGCTAAATTCTAATAGTTTTACTGTTGAGAAACTTACATTCATCCATTCTAATAAGTCAGTTGATTTAACGTGTCGAAATAAATGTTAGAATTATATTAAACTGTCAGTTCTATTCTGAATTCACCGCGTTTGGGGTTGACAAAAAATTTAATAAAGTATAAAACCATCTATCATCGTCTCAGTTATCTATCTATGCCAATAAACACTGATGTTCAATAATTTAAAAAAAAGAGAGAAAAACATACCTCTAATGTTCTCTGACACTTTTTTTCTCTAAATAAAGAATGAACGATGAGCAAACACAACTTCAGTTGCCGTATGGTAACTTATTTTCTACTCTCATATATCAAATGAAGCAAACAAACAAAAGTAAATCTGATGGTTTAGTGACGATGTTTGACAAAATTATGGTTCTTGTTCTAGTTATTAGCGTTAGTTAATGCTATAAAAAAGAAAAAGTTGTATTTTTTGAAAAATATTCAGTGTTTCGAAGAAACAAGTCGTAATAATTGAAAGATTTAGAGATGTAAACTAAGACAACGATATAAAATTAGAACGCTTAATGGATAAATCCATTAAATAAATTTACTAAGATATATAATCTACGAATAAATAACCGAAACATGACGGTACTAAGAGCCATGTAGTCTTCAGAGTTTCAGGCAATAAACGGGCGATTTTTAGCAGATATTAGCCTTTCTAGTTTAACTAAGTAAAACTGAGAATGCTTGCCTTTTACTGAAATTTGAAGTATACAAGCGTCCAGTATGTCTGGGCGATATGAATATAGTGAGAATTATTAATGAACTTAATGCCATACAACAAAGAATTTCATAGGGGCAAACCATGATGATTATGTTTAGAGAATTTAATCAATAAAAGATTCATTTGAACTGTTAACTGAGTTTCTATTTACATCGAGGTTTGCTGCAGATTTATAAACATACCATTCATTGTCTAACCAATCGATTATTGAAAGATAAAGAAAATAAATTTATAATAATACAGATTTAGGACGTCAACCATCGATTCTAAGTAGATTACAGTATTGTAATTGTATAAGAACAAAAACTTATCTATCGAAAAGTTTTAGATTCTAATAGATTTGAGTTTAATATAAAGAATTAATGGTGATAGTCCACCGTCATGTTTATTGCTTTTATTTCACATGCACCGTTAGCATTAGCTGTATCGCTCTAATTTTACAATTAATTTCTTAAATAAATGTTCTTAAAGTTCTCTTGTTTTACAATATTTTTTTCGCACATATATCAATGAAAAATGCTGTTTAAATTTAACAGGAATCAGAAATTGTGCCTCCACCGATCCGTTCGATTTCTCCTAAAGAACCTCCTCAAACTATTATACGTGAAACTATAATTAAAGAGGTACAACCACGACAACAGGTATCATTTATATTATTCTTAGTCTATGTACACTTTGCACTAAACACCGCATGCTTAATATCAATGCACAATTTATTGCAGAACTACACACAACTTATTCCTTAATTTACTCTTTTTATTTACCCAGCTCTTTTTTATATGTTGTTCCTTTTCATATATTCTGACACTAACATTCGAAGGAAAACGATCCCTTGACAGTATCACCATTGTCATTCGAAATATCTTAATGAGATAAAAGTGTTCAATTGACAAAAAATATAATTCTTTCATAGAATATTAGATGTTCAAATTATCATTCCTCTTAGTTTCTTCTCTTTTAGACTGTTAAAATCCTTTTAATCTTATTTTTCTAATATATTTAACGGTGATTTCATTTTTGTTCCTTCGTTTAGAATCCGGTCAATATGTCTGAAGCCATGCAAGATTTTCAAACTGCTCTTCAACGTTTACGAGAAGAAATTGATAAAATCAAACAACTTGTCCAAGAATTGATCGATAATGGTAAATTATCTGCTCAAGACATCGAGGTATTTCACTATGAACTTATGTTTTAAACTCTTCGACGAATAAGTTCTTTTTTTTATAGGCTCTGAAACGTTTACTTAAACAACTGGAAGAAGCCAAAGCTGATAAAAATCATATTAATATCGAATTGGACAAGGTGCGTACATATCTCGCTCTATATTCATTGCTGATTTGTTTAACTATAATCTATGTTTATTCTTATTTATTAGAAAGCAGATAAACGCGATTTGGATAATCGTGTTCATAAAAAAGATTTTCATACTGCTTGCGAAGAACTTTCCCAGAGTGTCAATGATTGTTTGCAAAAATTCCATACTCACGTAAGATAGAAGTGTTTGTCTGAGCCTGTAAAAATTTTTGATAAAAATATAAAATATCTACAAATCTTTTTAATATTATTCAGGATGATGTACAAAAACAAGATTTAGAAAAGATTACGGGTGATGTCGATAGTAAATTAGATCGTAGTGAATTAGATGCATTACGTGATTATATTGAGAAACAATTGAAAAAATTGAAAAAATTGGCTGTAGGTTATTTTTATACTTGCAAAATATTCTTGTATTTAAAACATTTTATTTTTTTATTTTTTTCTGAAGAAAGAACAACAAACTCAACAACACGTTCATATGATGTCGGAAGATGACGCAGCCGGACTTCGAAAACAATTAATTCGTTTCCATTGTATATCGTGTGATAGACCTATTGATGTTGCACCCCGTGAACAACAACCTAGTCTGCCAGCTGAACGAGGCATCAGACCCATACAATCACCTCGTCCATATACAACATTTGAATTAGATCAAATTAGACAATTTCAAAAGAGGTTATATTCAGTTTTTTTTATTAAAATTCAAGTAAAGATTTATGTTCATGTTATTTTAGTCAACAATACAATACCGATTTTGGCTATGATGTTTATGCCACTGTCAGACAATGTGGCGGTAGTCATACAATGACGTTGCCATTCAAGCGTCAAGTCAAAACGCAGTAAGTGTTTCTTTTTTTTCCTACAATAATATCTATTCAATTTTGTCTTAACTAGGCCTACGGTACCAGAAGAAACGCCTCTAACAAAGTAAGATTTAATTAAAAGAGAGATGATGTTATTTTTGACATTGTCTTTTATGTTTTTATATAGAAGTGAAGTTGACATTCAAGGACATGATGGTCACATTTACAAAGGTAGGATAGACGCAAAATTATCTGTTGATATATCGAAAAAACAAGGCATGGTTATGTTAACACGTCCTCGTTCGGCGACACAAACAACTCGCATACAATCAGGTGGTGTAGATGGAACAGGAGCAGGAACGTCTTCTTCGTATCCAGTTGATCTCGGTGGAGGTAATTCAGCTCCTCCTCATGTTGGAAATGAACATGGTCCATTATTGATTCGTCAACAGCAAGATCCACGACAAGAACCGGCCACAGCTGATATGAGATTTAACTGAATATATTAAAAAATAACCTGTAGGATTATCCTGAAGGATTCTACGCATATTATTAATTGTGAATGATTAATTCGTTTTTGTTATTGCAATCAAATTTTCTTTTTTTGCATGCGCTTTGCTCTACCCAGACGCTATTTCAACTATCCTTTTTACTGTATGTAACGTTTTTATTTTCTGTTCATTATTATTCTTTTTTTTGCTTTACTGTAAGAAATCGTATTTTTTTACCAAAAAACTTTTATTCTTGTCAATAAGTTAATTACATTTAACTCAATCGCCAAAATTCGTATCAATTTGTTTATGATACATTAATAGAAAAATGAAGGTATGAAAATGAATTTAATTTTTAAAACTCCTGATTGAGTATACAAGTGTATCTTTAATTAGAGAACATAAAAATAGCTTGGATATTCATTCGTTGCCATCAAATAATAGTGTTATTAATAAAATATGTGAAAAATGGAATCAAGAAATTTGTGTCCACTGTATCTGTTAATGGTTTTTATGAAAGAAACAAAAAACAATAAATTATCGAAAAGTTTAGTATCAATTAAATTATTATCATTATCACGCAAGAATATGAAATAAATTTCATTTTATCTGAACGGTAGTAGAAAGGGTGTTCAACTAACAACAACAATTGCCATTAATCGAAAATCATCGACATAGTCGTAAGATATTGTGTTTACAGATTATTCATATTCGTATCCAAACTAGCATATGTCATTAGATACATCTGTTAGTCCTTGTCAAAATTGAATTAAAATAAATTGTAAATATCGATCAAACGTTATATAATCGTCTATTATCGAATGATTCAATGATGGAACAAAATATAAAAGGTTTATTAAAATAAAAAAATCATTTGACGTTTTGTTTTATCCACATATCAGATTTAGTTCTTAGTAAAAAAACCATAAATCAGCAGTAATACTGTTGGAAATAATACTACGATATATTCAATATAATAAACTAACAGATCAAGGTTGCCACTTTTAGAAGTCTGAAAAATGGAAGATGAAAAACCTTTAACGAAAAGCATTTTTTTTCGCTTTCCGATACGTTTGTATGAATAATATTGTAAAAAGTCTCTTACATTCTCTGTTCATTCTTGATAAAATAACGAAAAAGAATAGAAGAAATAAACTATTTACACATTCTTGTACATGGAGATAATGCTTAATTTAATTTTATTCTTAATTCCATATCAATTCAATCGTGAAATTTTAAAAGCGTGTTCGATCACAACTGATTCCAGATTGGGACTCTCGATAGTCGATTATCTTGTACGCAACAAGTTTTGAATAGAGATATTGTAAAAAAATTTCTCAATCTTATTCAGCCATGAACTTCATTGAAGAGTCTTTTGCAAAACAATGGAGAAAATTTTTCCTGGGATATCCTGATTTAAAACTTGTTGCGTACAAGGTAATCGACTATGGAGAATCCGAGTGTGCGATCAGTTTTGACCGAATACGCTTTTAAAATTTCTCGACTGAATTGATATGCGAGCTCTGTTGACATGCGTTTATTTTATAGATATGCTAATGGGAGATAGTTTATCAAAAGTAATTGCATTCAAATCATGAAAGAAAAATAGAAAAAGTGACAACTCTATAAAAAATACCAGTCAATATTGTACGATACGAAAACATGACAAATGATGTTGTATAGAAAGAAAAATATCAATGAGATAGCTTTTCTTTAAAAAATTATCATATGTCATAATAGGTCTTTGTGATTTTCTTAAGACTATGTTCATTAATAAAATTGATTTGAATTAGCCACACAATATTCAACACATTGATTTATAAAAACATCAAAAAAGAAATTTTGTTAAATAATTGATGTATAATTATTATGTTGAGATCGTGAAATATACAAAATTCTTTATATTATGTTAGTCTACCAAATCCATGAATGTTCATCAAAATAAAATTATTGATCTTGATAATTTATTCTACATCCACGTTAAAAAACTTAGAAAACAATTTTTGTAGCTAAATAACAATGTTAAGAATATTTTATCAAATACTTTTTGATATTTTTCTAAACACGATTTTATTTGTTACATTAGTATCATTGGAGAAGATGAACAGGCGTTCGTTGATATTGTTGTGAGAGTGCAAGTGGTGGTACAGAATGACACCTTGTAAACCAGTTCAATGATCGACCACAATTAATTTTAACTTTAAATTGATTTTGAAGAAGTGATTGTTGTGTTTCAAGATCAGTTAGTGGAATTTGTTCGTTTGAGTTATCTTTACTATTATTCATCATGCATAATAATGTACATTGTGGTGATTGAAATTGTGATACTAATGGTTGACTAATATTATCTATTATAAGAGAAGAAGTAACAGTTTTTCGTTTTTTAATTTTTGAAGCACGTTTATTTTGATGTTCTACTTTAAAAACCACTCGAATACATTGATTATGTGTGCGCCATTCTTTAAATGTACGAAAATGATACCGAAAACTGACCTAGTGTGTAACAAGAGTAGAAAACTAACACTAGAAAGCAATTGAATCTTCCTATTCATACCCAGCACCAGATAATATAAATGAATATTACAGAAACAGGTAACAAAATAAATGATATTGAATCATAAAATTCTTTCGATAAAGTTATTTTTGTGACACTAACAATGCTTAACCTAAAATTTCACCAATAGCAGTAATTGTGTATGCAAACGTTATTGCCTACCATCCGATAATAGCCGATAAAAATAAAAATAGTATAATATCATTAATCAAATAGCGTAGATCCGATGCTCGTAGTGGATTTGTTAAAAACTATGAATAAAAAAGAAAATATGAATAAGTTAGTATATTATGAAACGAAAAGAATTTGTTTACATAGATCATGGATTTTGGATAGCGTACAACATTAAATTCATGTTGACATATTTCTAGAAGGTAAGACACATGAAATAAAGATAAAATGATGGAAAAAAAATGAATACTCACCACATTTGGTGGTATTTGACATTTCTAGCCAACGTTCTAGACAAGCCTGATGGAGAAAACCCATACTACCTGAACATTCACATGGTGAAATTAATGATTGAAGATCATTCGATGAGTAACATATTCGACATTTTTTTTCATCCTCCCATCTAAAAAATTTATTTAGAATAGTTTTTTCTGTGTAATCATCTCTTATATACATCAGAGTTGAAACCAGGCCGGCAGACCGGTCGGTCCCCTGTGATCCGTTGTCGGTTTAGAAAAATTTTCAAAGCGGCCGGTGTCGACCGGTCTATTATGCCGTATTTAGAATTTTTATCATTTTTCTCGTCTTCATTCAAAAGAAACTTGATAAAACAATTAAGAGAAATAAGAAAAAGCTAGTGAAGACTACTTTTTCCTTTAAGATATTTAGTTTTACTGATAAAAGTTCTCAATCAACCGGTTTTTCACCTGTCTAAAAAGATTTTTGGGTAGTTGGTCCGGTCCGATCTGCTGTTTTGAACCGACCGGTCCAGTCCGGCATCTTACTTTTAGACTGGTTGAAACTCTTATATACATACATACTTGTCGTTATTTGGAAGAACATCGACCGTTTCTAAATTTATCATACTTTGATTTTCTTGTATCGTATTTTGATACATTAAGTCACCATCATTTTGGTTTAGAACATTATTATTTACTGATAAATCTATCTGAGACGACGGTGATAGTATTGGTATTCTACACAATACTTGTCGTTGTTGTTTGATTACTGGAGTTAATGTAATTAATTCACTCATTTTTCGATTTTTTCTGTATTATCAAATCCAAACAGTTTAAACATCGTCTTGATTCAACATGTATTATCAATAAATACTGTATTGTATTCAAAAAAATTAAGTTACGTATCAATTTAGGTATTAAAAATGAGTCAAAAATTATAATATTCGCTTTACTTTATTTAACTAGACAAAAAAATAGAGATTATTTAATACAAATTTTTTGAAAATACATTTTTATATCATTGTAACAAAGATATTATGATGCACAAAAGATTTATTTATTTGGTGACGAATATACAACTTATAATATATACACTATTAGAGAGCAATGGATTTTCTTATCGAAAAAACAAAAAAATCACATATAATAAGAACATTAGTGTAACCATGTCAACAAACAGGAATGAATTGATCATCTATCCTTCCCTACTTGGAATAGGGCAGGAGATTCACTTACCTTTTGATATGCTGATAATAGTATGTACATTTCTATTGTTATCAAGGATGATAGATCAAATATTAAAGTTTGTTTTGCCTCAGTAACTGAGATCATAAGCTCAATTTCTGATCACTTTCTTCAATAATTCTATGAATTCTTGTCAATTGATTGTAAAATAATACAACGACAGTGATACTACATTTAAACTGTGTGGCTGAAAAATCATGTGTATTTCTTTCTTGTCACAGTATCACTTTTGATACGAGATTATAATTATATTGAGTTAGCTGTTCATTGATGCTAAATATGAATTTAAGTGAGATGAATATCATGTTAATCGTTTTCAACTTCTTCTTTTCTTCTATTTTTAAAGATGTTGTTATTTTCTCACCAAGTTTATATTGAATAATGTAAAGTCAAGTGAATAGTTTTAATTTTTCTATTTAAATGAACAATACTGATTATCCGTTTGAATCCACAATACGTAATCTATAAAATATTCGTTTTCGTTCAAATGATTACTTTCTCATCATAATCTTATAGACTATAGATGGTCTCGTGTCGATAATCGTTCATCAAAACACTGCAAGACAAACTTCTTTTCAAGTTAGAATTAAGTTTTTTTTCTTTTCTATATAACTTCTTAATAGGCACTTGATTTAAACATAACGAATATTAGATTGATTATATTTGAACCAGTATCTGTTACTACCATTAAGTTTTAAGATTTTAAATCTTAATATTTCCGCTTCCGCTCATCTACACATCATCAGATTATTCATGTCTATTCAAGTTTTATAGCAATGAATGTTTTTTTCAACTTCCGGTAAATAAGTCCATTTTCATTTAAATGCTAACTACCAGATCTTCACACGAATAAAATTGAACTGTCATATCCGTTATTCGATCTATTTTTTAATATTTTTGCACGATTTTCCACCAATTATGTTAATTATCATTTTTAGGATATCTATCCGATGTCTTTTTCGTTTTTAATGAAGAATAAGAGTCAATACCTGATCAGAAGTTCTTTTTAGTTTTTAATATAACTTTTCGCTGTTCTTGATAAATATGCAGCTTTATAAGACGTTAATTACTATGCTTTATAGAGAAAAAAACAACTCCATTTTTACTCATCTTTTCATCTTTGACTATAACATTTCTTTTAATGTACAAGCAATGTTTGATGTAGTAGAAGTTGTGTATATGTTCTGATGTAACAAAAATTGTTCTTGATCATATCTCACCATCTCAATCTGACAAATGTATGAGAAATATCGTGTGTGCCATCTTTAGAAAGAGAAAAAATAAAAGTTAAATAAACATACGACTTAAAAGAAAAATGATTATATTTTCTAATTTAAATGATGATAATACACAGATATGAACAGAGTGTCGATGACAATCAAGCTACTCTTGATTATATCTTCTTGAACACTTCTTTTTTTTTGCTGTACAAGTTATATAGAAGTGTTGGCTAGTAAAAATACAAGCTGTCACAAGATTGTAGAATGATGGAGAGATACTTGAATAAGAGATCAGAAACCGTTTAATTGTGTACTATGTGTGTTGAAAAATGCTTCATATCACACAGTATAGTCAATGAAATTATTGATTAATTGGCACTTATCTCAAGTCTTCATTTGGGAAATTGTTGTTGAACACGGCAACAGTTTGATGATAAATAAAAGAGAAAAGTTCAGGTTTAGTAAATGGTCCGAGAGAAACAACATATTTTTCAAAGTATTTGATTGGACAATAAAAGAACAGTTTGCTCTATATATAAGTGATGACTATAAGAGATGTTCAAACTTAAAACGTCTCATATTATGTAAGTCTACTGTTCAAAAATGAGATTTGATTAGAAAATTTTTTTGTACATTACAAGAGTTAACAGACTCCATTAGTCAGAACTTTTTAATTGAATTAAGCTATTTCTAAATTTCTTTTTTTTAATGGAACTGTTTCCTATTTTTCCTCTTTTATTCTACTAAAAATGATATTTAGATGTAAAAGAGAAGATATGACGTTGTTACTCTGCGTTTCTGATAGCATAATAATAGCTTTTAAAGCAAAAGTGACGAAAAATACCACATCACTTTCTTTTATATGTATCCTATTTTATTCTAATAATATGGTGATATTTTAACAGTTTGATAACGAATCACTTGTCTGTTGTAAATGGCATGAGGGCGTGCCAGTTACTCTCTCTCTCTCTCTGTCTCTCTGCAACCTTATCGAACAATTAGCGATGCATAAGTAGAGGAATACGAGCTTTTCCCTATATCGTATACAGTTGGTCGTTTCAATTTATTTTACACAAATTAATCACCTCTTTTTCTTCTCTTTCGTTTTTTCATTAAAATTTCTAACGTATACGATTGAAAGCAATGGAAACAGTAGTAATGGATTCAATATTCTACCGTTAACCATACAATAGAAGAGAAAAGAAAAGGAAAAGAAAAAAAAAATTCAAAAAAAAGAGATGTATACGTTCAATCAGAGATTGATACAAAAAATAATTTATCGTTGTTATATGAAGATCAATGTTTTTATTCCATATTTTAGTGAATTTTGATCATGAAATTGCGTTCACACGAAATATTAGTATCGAATCAAGGAGAAAGAGATAAACAAACATCATCATTTAAAACATTTCGTAAAAATTTATTTAAAAATAAAAAATTATCAACACCGAAACAAACCAATCAACGTCATATACATAAAAAAATACCAGATTATTTTAGAAAAAGTATATTACGATTTCTAGTCGAGGTATGTAAACTTTTTTATAGTTAATTTTCTTATTTTATAGGCGAATAGTACTGATGAGTATTTAATATACTTAAAAGAATTTCATTTTCTTTAGGCAGATTAGAGACATATTTAGTTCGATCCAAAGATTCAATTTAAATACAATAGAAAAGACATACTATATCCGGCTTAATAGAGAAATCCAACTAATTGTTTAAAAATAATATTGTTTTTGACTATTATTTTTTCTTTTTGCCATTTTTATTATTGTAAATTGCACATAACAAAAGAGTTAAAATTGAGCCTTCGAGACATGGATAAAAAATTATGTGTATATATCAAGTTCTTTATTCAATCGTTGAATAGTTGTAAAATATGCCATTGAAATGAATAACATATGTTTATTATACTGATTAGTGCCCTTCTATTTATATCGTTGATGCTAGACGCGACTCATGCCAACAGAATTTAATTTATGCAACTCTAATAGTTAAAATTCATGCTGAGTTTTCTCTCTCTAATTAGCTATACGATAAAGAAAATTTAAGTTTTAGTAACAAATAAAAACTAAACGAACAGTTCATTTATATTTGGAAGTAGAAGACATGCCGAAGGGAAGTTGTAGAAGAATTTATTCTAAAATTAATTTAAAATTAAAAGCTATTTTTAAAAGACCATTCAATAAATTTGTAAGTACTTAAACAATTAATTATCGGCAAATAATATATGAGAAAAATAGATATAGAGTAAAACTTATTGTTATATCATTCAGATGTAGAGTAATAAAACAGTGGACGCTGTTGTTTCGGCTTACCTTCTCGACTGAACTCTAGGATTTTTTCACATAAAAATCAACTTTTACGTAAGTCCGTAACGTTTTGTGAAGGTCACAGCATTTCAGCCGAGAACCATACCGAGTTAAGGAACATCTTACTTTTAGGTTAAAGGTTTTCCTTTCAAATGATAATTAAACAAAGTCTAGCAGCTGACTAGTTTAAGTAACAGAATGTTTTAGGTATACGACATTTTTGTACAAATTACAGGCAGGTGTTTAAGTTAGAGCTAGACTTTGCCTAATTAAATCTTTAAGCTACAAAATAAGATGTTTCCCAACTTTGTACATTGCTTGGCTGACGAGCTATGAATTTTACAAAATGTTACGGACTTACATTTTTTGGCTGGTACGCTTGAACAGACCCACTAACAAATTTATCTTATCTTGTCCTTTATTTCTAGTCTTCGACCAATGTTAATCCTAAAGTTTCTTCAACAAACGAAAATTTGATTTTATACAAAAATAACAAGGAAATTGATCTTCCTTTATCGAAAATAGTTCGTCGTGCTCCATTAATGGGTATGCAAGCATTAAATAAACAGAAAATATTACGTCGCACAAATTCTGTTCATACTAGGTAAAAACAGATAGATGATTTATTATCTCTCTTAACTATGATAAAACTTATTATAGTATTTATTATAGATCAATAACAAAAGTAGAAAGACAACCGATAATTGAAATACAATCATTAGATGATACAGCATTAGACTCGAATAATTATGATATGACAGTTTTAGAAATTGGAAAATATGATGATCATCAATTAGAATCAATGACGAAAAAAAGAATACCATCTTGGGCAAGAAGTATGTTTCATAATGTACGTAGTTCATATCTATGTTAAACATAGAAATTTTGTTTTTTATTTAGAAAATGAATTGCAAGTAGCAATTGTGAATCAAATGTATTTTCAACGAAATCCAAGTAAAATATTTGGTAAACGTTCAAATTCTCATTTAAAAAATATGTTCGACTCTTTGCTACCAAATATTAATGATAAAAAAACTAGTAATGATACAATAATAACTATGACTAAACTTTAAACGATTTTTTTTTTGAATTTTAACAGTAAAATAATTGAGATTATATTGTAGATCATTGTTTTTACCTATCTAATAAAATGTTGTTGAATGTTTTCAAATGTTAGACTATATTTTAGAGAACTGTTTTTCTTTATTATAAGAAATCTGAAATTAGCATCGTACTAGATCTGATGTGATAACTTTTGTTAAGTAATCGGTTTTAGTCATAGTTTCCTAAATGCGACCAAAATTTAAACCAATTAGTGTTCTAGTGGTCGAAAATTGGAAACGAGTAGTTAAATATTCTGCGTTTCCAAAAAAACAATCACTTTTTAATTAATGAGTAATCAACAATCGTAATTCAATTCGAAATATAGCAATTGGTCGTTTTCTAGAAACAATCGAGTACAACAGACGTAGAAATATATATAATAAGAATTGGTGACTATATATTTATGGATAATACGCAGCTATATTAAGAAAAGCTATATCAACAAAAAATTTAGTCTTTCTATCTCTTAGTTTTTAAATTTAATCTTACTATCTCTGGCATCTTTTATAACGTCTGTATACCGATGAGAAAGAGGTCTTAAAACTTTTTGATAACTATCAAAGTCTTTATCTTGGATATATTTTGTCTTTGCTAATTTAAATTTGTCATCATCTCGTATGTTTTTTATTTTTCTTGGTCTTGTTGTACGTTTTTGAGCTTGTTTTTGTTCATAACAACTCATAACAGATTCTTCAGATGAACCAACTTCATCAATTCATGTCCAGAGATCCAGATTCGTTCACACGCATGCATTCAGTTGTCTATGATAACCTTCTAGACGATTATTTGTACGCGTGGTCTTTAATCAATTGAATCAAAATGATTTCATATATCATTTTATTTTACTGATTATTAATCAAAATTAATCATTTTACTCTGAGAGTTGATTCTTATTTTCTAGCGTTCGTTGATAAATATAGGCATCAGTTTTTTTGTATACTTTATTATTGTTATACTGATGTACAAAGCGACCAATTGCTATATTAAAAGTGGTCACTTTTTGGAAACGTAGAATATGTAACTTTACTCGTTTCAATTTACAACCACTTTTATACTAATCGGCTTAAATTTTGGTCGCACTCAAGACGTAGCCGTTTTAGTTCATGAAAACAATAGTCTTTCTCTCCCAGTATTCATTAAAATATCTCTTGTAGATGTTCAAATGATATTTAGATTGGAAAAACCTACTTCAGCCGAATGGATTTGAATTTAAAAACTTTTGATCAAAGTGGATATGTCAAATAGAAAATCAAAAAAAAAAAGCAATGTTTTTTTTCTTCTTCTTCTGTACACTAATTGCAGATTTATAAAGTTATATGCGTCTGTCTTTCGAATAGAAAAGAATAAAAATCGTCAAACGAAAAAATGATTAACTTTGGATGGACAAAACAGCCTAAAACAATATCCAAATTATACCGTTAAGATCGAGAGAAGATGTGGTAAATAACAGCATAAAATTATTAAATAAAACTACAATTGTGTGACAAACCGTGATTTGTTTAAAAGTAAATTGAAGGCGAATGGTTCCTTATGTATTTAGAAGGATTTTTCTCATAGAGAAATATTTGAAAATTTTCTCTCTAACTTTTCATATATTGAACGATTTTATTCAAACGAACAATATTAAAGTCGATCATTCATCATATTATTATTCTGTATGTAAATAAAACATAATGGACGAACTGATTGATCTTTTATTGTTAGTCAATGAATCGGATAAAAACACTGACGTAGCGGTGAGTATAGAAATGAACATTGGTGTGTACATTATGAAGAATATTAGATACCTATAGACATTAGGAAACAAAAGGTACCGAAATCTACATATTTAATTAAACTGTAAGATGAAATAAACCTCTTACTTTATATAATGGAAAACTCGGATATACAATATAACTGTAACATAGGAAGTATATAGGCAAATTTATGATTCTATTAATGAAAGATTTGAAAAAATTATGACATAATTTTTCTTCTTGTCAAGTGTGATGTCGATTAAGTTGGTGTCTCTTGAATAAAAAAATTCTTTCACTTAATACATGATCAGTTTCTTTAATAACTGGAATTATTCAAATGAATAGTTATCAAAAAGGCACTCGTACCACTTCTTTTCTCTCTCTCTCTCTCTCTCTTTTTCAATTCAATATATTATCAAGGTGGCTCTAATACACAAACAGTTAGTTAAATATTCATATTTATATGACAATCCTATTAATCAAGATACTACTGTATCAACTTATCAAATGATTATTTCATGTTATTTGAACTGTTTCTTTCAAATAAAACATCTAAAATTTACAGTAGGAACGAGAATAACTGTTCAAAAAAACATTAGAATTAGGAAAATGGTTTAACTATGACTTCAACAAATAGTTGGTTGTCATAATTCATATTGGAAGAAAAAAATAAGAGAAAATTTTTTTTTTGCTAAATCAAATTAAATTCTCTTTCTTTCCTCAAAAAAAATAATAACTTGATATTTGATATACCCATTGAATGATATGTAATTGCACAGTTATAGCAAGAAGGTGAATGATGCGCTTAATGTGAAATTCAATCACCATAGCGATATTTTTTTTCAATATCTTCAATTTAGATCTAATGTACGAAGATATAAACTGTTTTTCTTCTTCTTAAAATCATTCTCTTTCAATATGAAACGTTAATAGAAGGAATACTATTCAGAATCCAAAATACATTTGTCAGATATGTAAAAGGTGGTTGTAAAAGTCTTTTATAACTTAATATTTGATGAAAACTAGTTTCGAATATATCTATTGTCTGTTTAGTTTTTCTTCTAATCGTTGCACTTGTTTTTATACCATAGAGGCATATGCCTCGATCGTATATAAAAAACCGGTATATATATACCGGTTTTTTTAAAAACTATTAGAAAAAATAGCACGATACTTCTGAATGTAAAAGTGTTCGACTACAGAAGAAAAGGAAAAAATATTTTTTACACTTTTCATATCACAAAAATATTTTTGAACTTCACAGTATCTCTGTTAAGTTTGTAGAGGTATATTCTCCTCCACACACTCTTGTTGATCCTTATACCCTCTCTGCCTCAAATTGCAATACAAAACTTTATGAACGGAAGGATAGTATCATTTAGAAAAATTACGTCGCCGAATACTGTTCTTCTCGAATATATTGAAAAATTTAGACAACAATGGCAAGACTACTATCGAAAATCATTTTCAACAAGAGGCTCACTATGTTATGCAGAGACTGGCTAGTGGACTGAATGGAATGATTTTTAAATACAATAGTGGAATTTAGCAGACTAATAAACCAGATACCTTATCATACTGGAAAATCAATGAAAGAAACTGGTCTTCTTTTGGTTCTTGTGCGATTCTTAGAACCCCATATCTATACGGTCTTGACTTTCTTGAATAGTTGAATTCTTTATTCCTTTAAATTCCTAGTCAAGTGAAGATTAATTATTGTCAAGAGAAAACGCTGAGTTTTTGAAGATATACTCATTTTAAGGTATTGGTTTTGAAGTGAGCAAGTCCAAGTCCAGATTTTTCTAGCCCGTTTAACGTTCAAGAAGTAGAACTTTATCACATACAGCAACAGTATGAGATTTTTTAATCTTTTACGTAATTTGTTGATCTCTTTTTTTTATCAGTATACACACATCTAATGAATGAATAAAATTTTTGTTTACTTGACGTATCTGATTATAAGCTACCTCAACCGACTTGTTAAGAAGACGACAAGAAATTATTATATTGTTGCCGTAAGGGAAAAAGAAATATATAAACTCAACTGGATTAATTTAACAGAACTCGTAATGAGTTAGAATATTTGATTCTTTAGTTTGTTCATAACTAGGCATGTTTTTGTTCATATGTATGTTTTTAAAATTCTATTATTAATTTCAATAAATAAAACATCATATGTTACAAATAGAATTCAATAAATTACTATCTGCTTCACAATATAGTGCGCAGCGCATGGCTGTTTTTGGGATAATGTTTTATAAAAGCTTTCTGTGCGGTTTTCACTGTTGGAAAGCCAAAATTTAACTGCATCGAGGTAGTTGTGGCGCCCGTTAAAACAACCACCTGCAGGTGGTATATCATATTGCTCTTTGAAGGAGTAGATTCCCTAGCCAAGAACAAAAAACAATAGGAGAATTCAAATATCCATCGTCTCGACTACAACCCCACGAAAGACCGAGATTTCCATCTATCAACGTTACCATATAGCAGAAGTGCCCCGGATTTTGTGATCTTCGACTGAAGGAATCTTAAAAACATATGGAAACATAGGTTATCAACCACATTGGATCTGTTTTCGGAATAAAATACGAAGCCTAGTGAAAACCTATATTAGCCCATGTTTGACTATTTTCATCGAAAATGAAAATCCTCATAACTTACTCAAAATCGATCGAGACTACTTCAGAATATCAAGATATACTCCACTGTGTCTGCTCAAGCTAACCATATACTGGAAATCAATAAAAAATCTTCCAAAGGTTTCTGGAAAACTTTTCTAAAAACCAGTATTTTCTGTTGATTTTTAAAATGTTTATTGAGCTTCATGGTATGAAACAGATAAAATGGAGTATATCTTGATATTATAAGTAGTTTTAAGCTCAGTTCAATAGTTTTCCATTTTCGAGTTAAATTTTTATTGATTTCGATCTGATTTCTACGCGTTCTGAGTTGATTTCTATGATTTTAGCATTTAACGATCAGACCTAAATTTTGTACTTTTGAATGTGTACTAAGTTGATTTCTAACGGGTGGCCCATAAAGAATGACGGTCTCAGTATTTCATGAATATCTCATGCAGTTTTTATCGCTCAGATCTCGCCTTTTTTTAAAAAGATTCCCCATTCAATTCTCTACAAAAAAAGTGTGAAGAAAGTTTCTACAGAATAGAACCGTGAAACTCTATGTGGTGAATATTGGCATGCTATAAAAATGCTCCTTTTTAAAATATGTCTTATCGTTCGTTGCATTTCACGTTACCATATGACTAGATATAGAAAGATTGAAGATGGCAATTTGTAGCTCTCGAAAAGCCCTATCAGCCGAGCGATGATAGAAAAATTCTGACTTTGAAACGTGTATGAACAGAACGTTTTTCTTTTTTCTCACATTGATGTTTTTGGGATCTGTTATTAGACTTCTCCGTAACCTTCATGCGATTAGCTCAAAAGGTAACTTTTCACAGTCGAATCTTTGCCAGTTCGAAGAAAAATGCTCTTCCTATCATCGCTAAGCGACTTTATCGGTGTTCAGTTAGTTTTGGCAATAAATTGTGCGTGAGAACAAAATGTTGAATTATTCCAGCTCATTTTTCAAGGCAAACTGTACCTGAAATCTCGTAATACTATTCAAGCGACTCATTTCAAGTACCGTGAGAAAGAGCATACTTGAAATTGAAAATAGCGAGAAATGTGCACCACAGTAATTCAGCACTTTATTAGTCAGAGGGAGAAGAAAAATTAATATTGTGAAAACGTGCGTTTGAAAACAGGCTTTTTCGGAGCATAGCAGTGTTCACCAGATAGTTTCACGGTTTCATTCTGTGCAAACCCTTTTCACACGCTTTTGTACAGAATTGAATGAGGAATCTTTTAAAAAAAAGGCGAGGTCTGAGCGATAAAAACTGCATGAGATAATCACGAAATACTGAGACTGCCATTCTTTATGGGCCACCCGTTATGCAATCAGAGTCTCAGAGACACACAAATGCTTAAAGGTGACTTTAACGTGGGTACGATGACTGATGTTTCAACTTTTATCTGTATTATTCTACGTAATGGTAACCTAACAGGATATGATTGAGACTATCCTGCAAACCATCAGTGTTCTTTTAAAAAAAGTGAATAGAGTGGGTTGATAGCCGACATAGAAGAGAAATCTTTTATATAAACCGCTGTATATATCAGTTAGCGACTGTACTTTCTCTACACATAGTTAATAAGTTGTATAAGTCATAGACGCACACTACTTGTGATTAATATAGACATATCATCCACATGCATTTACTGGACAATTTCTCTATTTAACTACATTATAAAGAAAATGAATTCCACTCTTTGTTTAATGGAACGTTTTACACATACAAAATAGAAAAAATTCTTCATAGAAAAAATACAAGCAACAACTGTACAACAAAATACGAGAAAAGAAAGATTGAAAATTATTCACGGACCTATAAAGAAAGAAGGAAACAATAAAGGTAAATGTCTCTTCTGTATACTATACACACCTGTCCTCCAGCGTCATCATGAACAGATGCCTGCATCATTTGTTGTGCCATATAATTCACTTGTATATTATAAGTCGCTTGTACACTACGCTTAATTCTTAACATTTCTTTTAATGTATCTTCATTTCCATGTTTCACTTCAAATTCTTTCCATGTTTGCCAGAAATCGGGTGTTAACTAAAGCAAATACAAAAACAATAGATCATTATATCTTATAAACCTATGAACGAAAGATAAATTTTAAACTTACTCGTGGATCACACATTTGTGAACAATGCGAATAAAGCGCGCGTGCACGATCTATTTCACCCAATTTTCGTTCTAACTCGGCATATCTTAAACACATATCTCGTACCAATGATTCATCACTCAATGCTTCAATTGCTTTTTCGTATATTTCTCGTGTTTGTGTTATACCACGCATTTCACCACAGCGTTTTATATAAATATTGAACATCTAAATGCAGATATGTAGCAGTATCGAACATGTGTTTTGTTTAGAAGATGATAGAAAGATGAAGCAGAAAGTACGCTAAACTGATGTGCGGAAACTGGTTGATGGCACAGCCTTTTGTTTATAGAAGGACACTCCACAAAATTATTAGTCTTTTTTACATTTCAGTTAAACATACTTCGTATTTTTCTTTTGGTTCAACAGCTTCTGTTGCTCTTTCATAAATTTTCAATGCCCTTCTATCTAGCCCATGTTTTTCTTCCAGTTTTGCATACAATAAATATAAATTTTTTGCATATTTTGGTTGACAATGTTCAAGACATTGTTCAAATAAATCTCTTGCACGTTCCAATTTTGAACCATCTGAATAACGTTGAACAAATTTACATAAATATGTTAACCATATATCATAAACATTTGGCCATTTAAATAAAGCAATGCCTTTCTCATATGTTCGAAATGCATCTTCAAAATATTTATTTTCCTCCAAATATACACCATAATTGATAATTATTTGTGGTGTGGCTATCTTTAAATCAAGTATTCGATCGTAAACGGCTTTGCATGTTTGAAATGTACCGTAACATTCTTCTAGATCAACATAGAATGACCATAGTTTTAAGTTTTTATGTAATCTCATTTGCACCGTTTCATTTACATCATAATAATCAATTTTATGTCGTGGTAATACGGTTGCACGTTCCATTAAACGAATAGCTTCTTTATAATTTTCATGTTTCAATTCGGTTTCACACCATGCACACCAGACACAAGCCAAATCATCAACGTAACGATAATTGACCTTTGTTCCTTTCTCATAAATATATCGTGCTTCATCCAGTTGATCATTATCATCATAAAATTGCGCAAATGACATCCATAATTCATGAAGTTTACCGACACATATTTTGGGATCTACTGTTTGAACAGCACGTGTATACGTCTCAATTACTTTATCATACTGTTCACCATATAATTTGACACGTTTTAACCATTCGTTGACATTATGTGGATTTTGTCTTAGTAGAACGCTATTCAATAATAATGGACGACGATCCATCAAATATTCTAAACGAGCCAGACGAATTTCTAATTCAAGGTCATCTAAATAAAGAAAATAAACATTTGTTCAGAAAAATGTAATTAATACAAAAACCAGAGACAAGAGATGAGAGAGGTTGTTCTGTATAAATGACACTCGCAAACATGACTTTCGCTTTAAAATTACTAACTGTTGGCGTAAAATAAGACCGATGAACTTCTAAGCGTTCTAAAACCAAACTATTACCTGCACAAAATATCTCTACAAATCAAATCTATCTTACCATCTTCTGTCACTTCTTCTTCATTTGATTTCTCCATTAGAGCACTAATTAAGCCCTCTTCAGATTGTGCATACGCATCAAATACCTAAATATCAATATAAAACGTATTTGATTGTTTACTGTTTCGTAGTAGTGCTTACTTGTGTAAAATCTCTCACAGTTAAGACAGCCTCAATCGCTTCTTCGAATACATCTCGGGCCTAGAAAAAAGAATCAGATTAAGAATACAAACGTTTCCTTTTGAACGATCTATTGTAAGTACCTTTTCGAAACATCCTGCTCGAATATAATAATCAGCCAATGATGTCCATAATTGCCCAACTTGATCTTTATATTTTTCGATGCCTTGACGAATAATTGGTTCAACTTGAATTGATTTAATTTTAGATGGATTCTTTGATACTAATTCACACAATTCATTCCAAAGCTAAAACGTTTCATGAACTTTATAGTGAATAAAACAATAATAGACAAAAATTTACTTGATGGTGTGATTTTCCTTCTTTCGATACAAAAGTATCACGATTCAGTATTTCAATATACAATTGAGCACATTCATCAAGACGATCGATTTCTTTTAAATATTCAATATAATCTTCAGTATTTTCTGGTAATAACTAAAAATAAAAGTTATACATTTTTAATACGGTTACAGTCAAAACTTTGTCCTTATTGTTAGTAAATAGAAGAGACAAGAATTGTTTTAATAACAAAGAAAGATGCAAAGAAAACACGATTAATGTTTTTAGCCTATAGAATCTATAGAATAGTTTAGATGCAGAACAATTTATACATCAAAACATGTTCCACTACTGTATGAAGGAAAAGTGTGAGAATCCTTTATAAGGAGAGTTACTCAACTTACTTTTAAATATCTTTTGTATATTCTCATTGCTGTATCGGGTACATGATATTGTGTGACAAATTTAATATATAATGGCCATATTCTGTTATGTTGTGTTATTGGCAATGCACGTAATGCACGATCAAATACTTTTCGTGTTCGTGTTATTTTACATTGATCCATTAAAAATTGACAGTAATCTAACCATATACGTGGCATCTAAATAATAATAAGAGAATACTGATTGATATCCTAACATGTCAAGAGTCGATATATTTCTTAATGAGAAAACTATTTCTGTTTGAATCGGAAATATTTCTGCTTACTTACTTTATGCATGAAAACTAATGCTCGTTCAAATGTATTATTAACATCTTCATACTGTGGATCGATTATACATTTTGTACGAACTTGTTTTCGACGTAATTTTAAATACGGATACCATAATTTGTAACTGAAAGAGAAATTCAATCATCGTGAGTACCAGTGAGAGATGTAAAATAATAATAAATACCTGCCAGGTAATTCTCGTAATGCACGTTCGTATACTAAATTAATTTTTTCATTTGGAGCATCTTTGATGTGTTCAATATATCTTAGCCATGTTTTCACCGAATACTGATTGCGCAGACAATCTTCTTCGTATAAAACATCAGTTTCACTCTAAATACAAAATATATAACACTCAAGGATCTAATCTGAGAAAGTACGAGTTCGCTGTCTACGTACAAATGTTATATTGCTGGACTCAATCGTTTCAGTCATATTCGCATACAAATTTTCACGTATTTCCGTTTATTCAAGCTAGTTTCAAATGGTTCAACTTTGATTTCTCGTTATTATTTTAGTTATACGTAAGTTTTGGATAAATAATGACTGCATCTCGTTGTTCCATTCTAACAGTAAATGAGAAAGTATTTAGTTACCTCTATAATGATAAATATTTGCGTACTATACGTTTCATCTTGCGCCGCCATCTTTCATAATTGTAGACTGTGGCTCTCCTCAACGCACATCATAAAAACAGGCCAAAGAACTTCACATAAATTTAAAGTTGCAATAGATAATAAATAGTTTAAGCAAAAACTAATCTTATTTAAAAACATTTTGTGTCAACAAAACAAAAAACACTGGTATTATCTCGTTGCTTACAACATTTCATAATTTCATACGCAATGGCCGTGCGAACAGGAAGGAACATGTGGGCTATAGTGCTAATTCACTGTATTTTTTCACAAAATTGGAATATATTTCTTGTATATTTGGCTAATATGGAAGCAAATTTCCAACAAAATTTCTGAAAGCAGGGTGTGTGGATCGCTCTATGGGTATAGAAAGGGGAACAAGTGACTTCACTCGAGTCTGATCAGTCTAATAAACGAACTACTGTCAGTAGAAAATATGTTTAAAAGAATCACATTGTTCATCGAAACACTTCAATGCATTTATTTTTATTTCAATATTCTTGAAACTGTTTTATACTGAGTAATTATTATTTTTAGATAACTGTTTATAGTAAAAGCTAGTAAAGGAGGGGAAAAGGAGGATCTCCTCTCGCATCTTTATTCATATTGAAGATAAATTTTATCCTTATAAGAAAAATACTGTACTTTCATTGTAAGACATTATTCATCTTAAACAAAAGCGTACCGCGAAATTACCGAAGAAGTGTAAAGATTTTGAAGTTTGTTTATTCGTTCAACTTGAATAGTCTTTTTTCAGATGTTTATTACTACACTACAAAGAAGATGAAAAAGATACAAGAAAGTTTAATTCTTACTGTTTAGAAAGAATAATTTGCTATTATGTTACAAAGCTTGTTAACTGTAAACGGCTGTGCAGTCCCGTTAAACACAATGTACCTATCTAATTACATCTATTATCTATAGTATTACAGTACACAATCAACAAAAAGTTATCAATAAATGCCTTGAGCTAACATTGCTTCAGCCACCTTTTCAAAACCGGCAATATTAGCACCAGCAACCAAATCATCTCTGTTCAAACCGTATTTTTCAGCTGCTTCTCGACTCTTTTTAACAATATTAACCATGATTTCTTTTAATTTAGCATCCACCTTTTCTTTTGTCCAAGATGAACGTTCCGAGTTCTGTGACATTTCTAGTTCGGATACAGCCACACCACCAGCATTACATGCTTTGGCGGGACCAAGAATTATACCATTCTTTTTAAAAAACTCCATAGCTTCTGCATCTGTTGGCATGTTGGCACCTAAAAATACACAGATTTAATTGTGATGGAAACATAGTGGAATAGATGCCGATGCTATACCTTCAAACACATATTTGACACCGTTTCCTGCTAATTGTTTTGCATCCTCTAATGTAATTTCATTTTCACACGCTGATGGAAAAGCAATATCAGCTTTCAATGACCATGGTTTTTTTTTTGGAACAAATTTGGCATTAAATTTTTTCGCATAATCTTCTAACTTAGTTTTACCTATTTCACGCATATCTAACATAAATTTCATTTTTTCGTCGGTGTTGATTCCTTCTGCATCGTGTATATAACCGTCTCGACCTGATATACTAATTACTTTGGCACCAAATTCTTTTGCTTTCAAACATACTCCCCAACTCACATTCCCATAGCCCGATAAAACGATTGTTTTACCTTCAAATGTTTCGTTTTTTTCTCGCAACACTTCCGCGGCATAATACATCGCTCCAAAACCTGTTGCTTCTGGACGAAGATGTGATCCACCAAATGCAATACCTTTTCCTGTTAGTACACCACATTCATAAGCACCTGTGATACGTCTATATTGACCGTAT